AATCTGGTTGATGATGGCGGTGCTGGGGCACCCAATGGCGCTGGCTACGAGAATGGAGGAGGCTCAGCTAACGACCTCGCACTACGAGAGCGGGAGCTTATGTTGCGGCAAAAGGAGCTGCAGCTTAGGGAGCAGGAGCTTAACATGCGGCGCGGTCGTCGTCCGCCTCCTGCTCCATCGATGGCCGGCTTCGACGAAGACGATGACGAAGATGATTACTTCGATCCCATGGCGGCGCGTGCGCCTGGCCCCGCCATCGATCCTGACAATTTCGACATGATGAGCGTCACCTCCCGCCGCACCCGCAAGATGCCGAGTGCTAGTCAGATCCGCAAGAACCCAGAAGGAGCGTCTTTTGCAGGCCCGCAAGGTCCTGGCGGACGCCGCGGGAACCCATTTTCGCGCCCTGGATTGAATAAGAATCGAACTAGTGCAAGGATGATGGCGGATGTTCCTGGGCTTCATGACTCCATCATGAACAATCCTCTCATGGGCTACTCCTCAAACAGATATGGCAACGTAGACAGAGGCGAGATGGGGCAACAATCTCGCACCAACTCACTAACTGCAGCACGCCTAGATGAGCTTCAGCAGGGAGGCAGCTATGGCGCCTATCCTCAGATGAACCGACGGACGAGTCAATCGCCCGGCAACCCTCTGAGCCCTGGCCCAAGGCCGATGGGAAGGCCGTCTCCTCCCAACGGCTACCCTCCTAATGGAATGCCCCCTAACGGTATGCCACCCAACGGGCGTCCTTCACCCCCTGGGATGCGGCAACCAGTTCCACGACATCCACCAACGGCACCACAACAAGTTGAACAACATGCTGGGGTGAGCAATCTTTACCCGCCTAAATCTCGTCCTCAAGTGCGAAGCCTAACCGGATCTGCTAGCGCGAGCGCGAGTGGTGAAAACTCAGAGAACTCTGCGCATAGCAGCCAGAGTAGCCTAGGACCTCGTCCTCCCATCGGCGTTCGGTAATAGAGGAGATCTGTTTCATTTGGCTTCTGCGGCATTCGAATTGGAGTATGTTGGGATATTGCATCAACACCTTTTCGATTCGGGCGACACATTGACGAGAACATCTACTGGTTCTACCTCTGGCGGTCCCCTGCCTCCACAAAAACTTTCATCCTTCACCGATTTCTCTCTGCCGTTGACGGCAGCTACAGCTATCCATCCTCGGCTCTCCTACTCATCTTCTCTTCGCGAACACGACTATGCATGGGACTTTGCTATAGCCCGACCGCTTGTAATCGAGGGTCGAGGAGCTTTTATGATACGCCAGGGGTGCTGAAGAGGCTCGATGGCGAGTAATTAATGACGAATACTAGAGGACGGGTCAGGGAGGACACTTTGCACGTACACAGACAGACCTCGATTGTGGGTCGTTTCTTCGGGTTTCCTTTTGTCATTATCGTACATATTGTAGACGTTCTAACGGCGACGTCTCCTTTCTTCAAGCTGGCGCCCGCTAATCATCTCTTGCATGGGACGCACAGTTGGGTTTGGGTCTTGTTCCTGTCAGCTTTTTCGATACATGCACATGTCTTTTGGCTTTTAAGGCATCGGCATGCCATGGAAGCAGCTATTCACAGGTGCTGTGTTGGTTTGGGCAACTGACAGAGCGTGTACTATCATTCCTGGGCAGGACGACGAAAAGTACTGTACCATTGTGGCTGGAGTGCGTCAGTGGTCGAGGGGACGGCGAGGCGAGAGGAAGATCTTCTAGCAAACATACATAGTTAGGTGGGCAACAAAAGAAGCGTTCTCTTGCTCGACGTCAAGCAACATCCTCTGAAGTGCATTATTGTTACTATCGCAGCAGAGCTTCATAGGCTCGGCTTTTTTTTTTTTAAAGCAACAGAGCACATTGATCTCGTCTACAAGTATTGATCTGCTGAAGCTAGCCAGCCTCAATGATCCGCCAATATTTCTGAGTCAAAGCAATACCGCTCGTCCGTACTGGCGTGAGTGATTCTCGGCTGTGGCCCATGGCTCATCGCGTGCTGAATCATGGCGGTGAGACCGACAGCTCGGTTTGAACGTTTGGATCCCGGCTCTGGGGTCCTTCAGCCGCCGACGTAAGACGTGGTTGCGGAGAAACATGCGATGGCTGGCCGGCTACGGCTGGCCTGTGTGTTCACGATGTCTTTCTCGGCTTGCACAAAAAAGGAAGCACTTCGTTTCAATTGCCCTCCTGGCCCGACCCGCGACGCTAGGGAGGTCACGCCGCCTCCACCTGGCTCCTTTCACGATGGACCCTCTCCGTTGCACGCGCTGTCTTGCGGCGATTGACGCCCAACTGTTGAGCGATTTGCGGCCGCTGCAGGAAGTATAGTATTGCATGTACGTACCTCTCACGGAGCTTTGGAGGAATTCGATAGGTTGCAGCTCAACCAGCTCAGCCCGACCCCGCCTGCCAAAGCTGGACTGGGCGTTTCCAGCGCCCCTCACCACCAAAGCTGAGTCCTCGAAAGGCACGCAGTTGGCGGGGCAGTACTGTGCACCCAACCAAAGCCAACTGTGCTCCCGCCACGTCTGTCGCTGTCGAGTCCTCGAGGCCACCCCGACGTCGTGACACTCTGTGGCCGCAGCTCTCCACTCAGCAATTGCTCAGCGTCGCCGTCGCCGTCGTCGTCCTAGTGCTCGCCGCCCACTTGCTTGCCCCGCTTCCTCACGGCCTCGTCCAGTTTTTTGCAACAAAGCCGCATTGGCGCGTCACATCGGCGACAGGAATCACGCTTCGCAGCCCCTTCGTCTTCACCAGCGCGCCGCCCACCTGCCCCAAGCCTGAGCAGCAAGTCGAGTTCGCCGGCACCTTCTACACGCACACCAAACGAGACATGGCATTGGCACAGGAGGCTCAGCGGGTCGCCGCAGAGTTCGAGTTCGGGCCCGACCATGTCAGGAAGGCGACCAAGGAGTTCATTCGGGAGATGGGTGCGTATACAGTGCGCTGTCAGGAACGGGGGGGCTGACAGGTGCCAGACGAGGGCTTGCAGAGTGAGGGCACCGAGCTGAGCCAGATCCCCACATATGTCACGGCCGTACCGAACGGCACAGAAAAGGTACGGCATCAATGGCAGCGCACCGTGTTCTTGTTGCGGTTCTGATACATGGCAGGGTCTCTACATGGCCGTCGACCTCGGTGGCACCAACTTCCGCGTCTGCTCCATCCAGCTGCACGGCAACACCACCTTCTCCCTGACCCAGAGCAAGGTCGCCATACCCCGCGAGCTCATGGTCGCGAAGACGTCGAAAGAGCTCTTCTCGTTTCTCGCAAAGCAGATCGAAGCCTTCCTCAAGACGCACCATGAAGACCACTACTTCTCGCACCTGGAGCGCGTCAACACGGGAGACACCAAGGGGCACGAGGTGTTCAACCTGGGCTTTACCTTCTCGTTCCCTGTTAATCAGATTGGGATCAACAAGGGGCTGCTCATGCGATGGACGAAGGGCTTCGACATCCAGGACGCAGTGGGCAAAGATGTGTGCGCGTTGCTACAAGCTGAGATTGACGAGCTGGGTCTGCCAGTCAAGGTCGCGGCATTGGTCAACGACACAGTTGGAACCCTCATGGCTCGCTCGTACACGTCTCCTGGGAAGACTGGCACACTTTTGGGCGCCATCTTTGGAACAGGTACCAACGGCGCCTACGTCGAGAAGCTCGACAAGGTCTCGAAACTTACTTCCAAGAGTGACGCTGGCACGTACGACAAGTCGACCGGTGAGATGATTGTAAACACCGAGTGGGGCTCGTTCGACAACTCCCTGCGAACGCTTCCAGATACTTCGTATGACAAGGAGCTCGACGAGAAGTCCGTGAATCCTGGTATCCAGATGTTCGAGAAGCGCATATCGGGCATGTTCCTTGGTGAATTACTCCGTCTCGCCCTCGTCGGCCTCCTTAAAGAGCCTAAGATACCGCTGTTCAAGGACGAGGACTCTTCCAAGAACGATGTCCACAGCACTACCCAAATCCATGACAACAGCCCAATACACCAACAGTGGGGTCTTGACACGAGCCTGCTGAGCATTTGTGCTGGTGACCACAGCCCAGGACACCGCGTGATAAGGCAGACTCTGGACAAGGACTATGGCATCTCAGCCGTGTCGGCAGAAGATGCGGAAGCTGTCAAGGTGATTGCAGCGGCGATTGCTCAGCGTGCGGCTCGTCTGGCTGCTGTTGCAATTGCAGGTATCGTCATCAACACTGGACGCTTGGAGACTTCCTCCGGCACAGCCACGACAGAGCAGAAGACGGGCATTGAACCTTCACGAGGTCAAGTGGATTCGTCAGGCAGAGGAGACGTACCGGAAGAAGATGTTATCGACATTGGAGTCGACGGTTCCTTGGTAGAGTTCTATCCTGGCTTCGAGGACGAGATCCGACAAGCATTGCGTGAAATCCCTGAGATTGGCGACGCAGGGGAGAAGAGGATCAGAATTGGCATTGCGAAGGACGGCTCTGGTGTCGGCGCTGCACTTATTGCCTTGGTTGCTGGACGAGTTGAGCAAGCTATAGCTTAGAGGCCTTATACGGTAAAACATGAACGGCGATATCTTTGAGGATTTGAAGAGGTCTTGGAAAGCTTTCGTGCAGCTATCTTTGGCGACATGTACAGGATGTAGCTCTTTCTTGCGACTTCATGTAGCTTCTTGCAATGAGATAGTACAAATGTGTTCTACGTCAATAATAGACGATTAACAAGCCAATCTTGGATTGGGTTTTTTTTATGTTCGTAAAGTACTTTGTCCCACTTGATGTTCCTTTGATGTTTGCCTCAGGCAACCCCCATCCACCCCTCACAAATCTATGACGCATCCATCCATCCACCAACCACCCATCCCTCGCTTCGCCCCACCAGCTCCCACAAACCCATCTTCACAACCTCCGTTGATCTTTCAAGCATGACACCGCCCCCTAGCTTGCTCTCCTCATAGTCACACGCTATATTAGATTTGGACAGCGCAGAAAAGGCATTCAATCAAGAACAGCCCGGTTGGCACAATTGGTTAGCGCGTGAGACTTTTAATCTCAAGGCTGTGGGTTCGAGTACGTTGATGCTCTGCATATTATCCTGATGTTAGTACTTTGATGCTAATTAGACCGTGTAGGTCCCACATCGGGCGTTGGATGCAATTATCCCTTCACTTTCTTTTTGGTTTTTTTTGGTGGTTGGAAAGGTGTAGGTGTAGGTGCAGGTGTCAGCTTTGATAGGGGATCATTGTTTTGTTGATGGAAATGAAGGATATCATATAAGGTGGAAGTATGCGTTAGTGGTGTTTATATAGTGTAGAATTATTTTTTCTGTGGTGGGTTGTTAAGATGATCCCTTGTGATGAGACCAAGCAAACTAGGAAATGGATCGTGAAGGAGAATATTCAAATTGCTTTATTTACGTTAGACGTTAAAACTCTGCTGAGACCACTATGTTCGTAGTCCTCAATGTTTTGTTGTTCGTGGAGAATGTTAAGAATTGTAAGGGACCTTATTCTAAAACCTATTCTCCACGCGCAGTCGCTCGAGTTCCCTTTCGTCGCCGTCCTTCTTCCTCCATCTCTAGCACGTCGTAGTATATATTCCTATAGTGAGAGAGCAATACTCTTCAATCTAGGGTTCATATCCGTGCGGCATTTTGTTCAACGTGTATGTCATCTGGATCTCCGGTGAGTCTTCCGTCCCCCTCAACATCTCCGCAGCTAGCATTATCGTAATCAACACACCCATTCAATTCAGCCTCAAGCTCTGCAATCATCATCGCCCACTCGCCTTCCAGCGCCATCAGCTTTTCTCGGAACTCTGGGTACCTTAAAACGGCCCGAACAACAGGCGTCATTGCTCTTCTAGCTGCCGAGTGTAGATATTGCTCGGCTTCAAGACCTCGCTGGATATTGCCTTTCAGAACACACTGCAAGCGAGGGCCAATGGTCGCACCGCAGTGCAACCACAGCTCCTCAAGACGATCTCGACAAATGAGATACACACCATTTTGTGCCGCAGAGAGTTCGTATCGCTCGGTGCAGGACATCAAGTGATCATTCATGGGGCACAGGTGCTCTTCATGAACTACGTCTTCGATTCTGAGCCCGGCAGGACAAGAGTGCGGAATTCGGACGGGTGTGGCGCCGAAGTTGGGAGCGTGTTTGCATGGACCATCGGGTGCGAAGCCGCGGTCGCAGAAGCGTTTGGTGCTGTGGCCACAGGAGTAGATTACTTCGATGAGTTGACACATGCTGGTGTTTTAGGACAAGGGGAGTATAAGCCACTGTGTCTAACAGAATCAAAGGTGTGAAGGATATGTAACTCGAAATAGGTGTAATTTACATGACATTGTGAGCGAACATAGTTTCGAAAGCGGCCAAGAAGAAACGTGAAAGTAATGAACCGTAAGATTATCGCAAAATGAAACCTCAAGTCTTCACAGGGACTGAAAGTCCTAGCAAAACCCTCGTATTAAGCACTAAATAGCTAAATTTTTGGTAAACATACGTAATTCATGTCGACCTCTCCAGAGAGTATGAGCTTATGCATATCTCGCATGTCGAAATTCGTCCTGACGTTGCCTCGCTCATTCTCCAAGGGTTTGGTCCCAGGCATTCTACCCAGTACTTTTGCCACCTCTTGGAGGCCTAGACGCTCTGCTTCTGGTCTGATCTCCAACCCCGCGGCATCCTTGTTCAATCTAGCTATCTCTTCTTCTACTTTATGAATAGATTGCTCAACATGTTGTTGCACCTTGAGTTTCCAGTCCATGACAGGAACAAGAGCCAATGCCAAAGCCTCGTCAGGATACTGCCGAATGTCATCAGTCCTCATCGAATACAGCACTTTCCTTCCAGAGCTGATCGCTTGGTCTAACTCCACCTCCGCTTCGATCGCCCGGAGAAATATGCTACTGACTAGTTCGTTGAGCGACATCACTCGATGTATCAAATTGCTCAGATCTTCACAGCTTATTTCGATACTGTCAAAACGATCGTCTTCTAATGATATGACCTTCAAACCAGAGTGTTCTGGTCCATGGTCCATATCTGGATGGGAACAACCCCACTGATGTCTGATTCCTTTCATGCAGAGGTTCTCTAGAAACGATTTGCGGATTTCGCGGACGCGTTGGTGATATTGGGAAAATGTACCTTTGGCTTTGTCCATTTCGTTGCTTAATTTGGCTTAAGGTAAATGAAATTTTAGGTACAGTTGGCGTAGACAAATCTATACTTAGGTCGTACTCTTAACGGTGAACGAGACAAAGACTTTGTATGATATCATGTGATGATCTCTCGCTCCTTCCACAATGATCTTGGAAGACTTAAGTAGGGTGCCTTCGCTTCTTCGTATTGATGCACTGTATTGTGGAGGTATAATGTATAGAGTTACAACGCCTGTGAGATCAAATTTACGAGACAAGGTGATCATATACATTCCTATAAGCAGCATCTCATTACCTGCGAGATCCGCGACGTGATCTCGAAAGTAAAGACTGGGAAGGTTGACATTTCAATACTCTCTCAAGAGCTAGGCTACTGCGGTTTCTGTAGGAAAGTACTGGCTGATCTCGCTTTCCAAGTAGTGAGTGACCAAAAAAGGTTTCTCAGTGTCACCAAGAGAACTTTTGTCATATCTGTTCATCAATGTAGTCCCAGTACGACAAATCATTACAGATCTGCTGGTGAACGAAGGCGGACCAGTAGGTATGCTGTGCGACCGCATAGATAATGATAGCACGTTTGGCCCACTGGGAAGAGCTGACACCTCTTCGCCCAACGTTGGGACTGAGAGGGAAAATTGTGATGATGTTGATTTCGACGATACATCTGATAGACCTTTCGGGAATGTGAGCATATACATCAAGGAACGGAAAACTGAGGGTGGACCTGAGAATCCGTGAACCACATGTCCTTAGATCTGAACTTCTCTTGATTGTGTCCCAAAGTCCCTAGAAATTGACGGGTAATACGGAGGGTTAAGTGTGATTCTTCGATTTATGCCTTTAATTTTGGACATGATACTTTTGAATTATCCTTCCTCATGAACCATTCCTTTTCTTTTGTCTTTATTTTCTCATAATGCTCTTGGACATCTCACCTACTCCCACTCGCTATTGATCTGAATGGGAGCCTTTGACTCAAGCCGTAACCTCGGTAGGTGTAACTAACACTGGAATGGACTCTGACTTCAGTCCCCAGTTGCAAACCCCACTCCCTCCACAAGTGCCTGACAAATTGTCTCCTACGCGGAATGTTCCAGTAGCCGTGTAGGTCTTCTTATAATCAGAGCCCTGATAGAGTACATCAGCCACTCGAGTGAACTGGACATCCCAGCTGTCGCCTTCAAGGACCTCAAAGTACCAGTAGCCATCCTCAGTAGGGTCGCATGGCCAGAGGTGGTTGTGGAGGTCGGTGGCTGAGGTGCTGAACCATTTGGCGACGCAGTTGACGGCTGTGTTGCCCGCTGGGACAGTGACAGCGTCGCCTTCTGGGGTCGTGCCGAGGGTGAGGGCGTTGGGATCGGTGATGTTGGCTGTTATGGTAGACCATGGGTAGGAACCTGGACGACCGGAGGGAGTATGGACCCCGAATGAGGTGACTTGCCAGGGTTGGAGGGTGTCCTGTCTCTTGGCAGGAGCGCCGGAGGCGATTGAGGCCGCAGCGAGAACAGAGAAGATGGCAGTCTTGGTGAGCATTTTGATCGTTCGAGGATTCGGCGGGTGCAATTATATATTATTTTGGCGCAGGGGTTCCGGAAGCGACTGTTCTATGAAGACTGAAGCGACAGACGAGCGTTGGAAGGGAGTTGAAGCTGGATGGATGTGACGGACATTTTTACGAGTACATCGTCACTATATACTCCACATCGCGAATACGAAGTCTTCGCTCCCCTATCCCGAAGAAGCAAAATCCAGGCACGGAATATTGATGGGAAATCATGGGGTCGACAACGGTCGCGGCTCGCCTAAGCCATCTAGTCCGAATGCAGGATAACCTACTATTATTAGCAAGATCGGCATCAGCATCTCCAATTAAATATCCTCCTAGTCGGACTTTGACTCGCGATGTTACCTCGACTGCCGGTTTTCCAGCATCAGCTCGTCGTTTCGATTTCGTAAAAGGAACCTTGTGTCGTGCAAGGCGAGAAACTAGAGAATGTTGGATCTTTACGAATGATTATTCTTGAGGCGTCACCGGCACGCGAGCGAATTGACGTTTCCATCACGCCACGCATGGGACTTCGAAATAGAAAGGGGGAGTGTGAGTTCGTGTTTGGAGTATTGGTACGCGGAAGAAGTGGATATGAATGACAAGGAAGTAGAGCACAACATTAGCGGTCTGGAAGAAACGGCATTGTCTTGGCGGCATGGTATCGAAGACATGTAGTCGAGTATCGGAGGGCAAGGGATAAACTAGTGACGAGTGCTACGGAAGGTGTGAACAGACTTCAGCAGCGAGAGCGAGTCGCGCCAAATCGGGAACGTGGAACAGATCGCTCTCACCGAGAATCTGGTGAGACACCCACCAACCAACCTGGCGAAGAGTCTTCAGCTGCATAGGGAAATTCTTGACCTTTACCTTGGGCTTTTATGGTTCAATAGTGTCGAAAAGGTCAACTACAAGTAGCGTTTCGGGTGCTCTTGTTTATACAAAGCAGGAGCATATTAGGCGCCTCTGAGGATCCATCTAGGATCCCTCATGAGCGGAGAGAAATAGCACCGTTCTGGATCTGGATCGCGTCGGTTGGTACTGTCAGAGAAAGTCGACTCATTCGAGCTGGCAATCCTATTTGTAACTGAGAAGTCAATAGGATTATGAGGCGTTGCGAACACAGCGTGGGAGCTTGAGGCCAGCTGAAACACTACGAGCATTCGACCACAGCGAATAAAAGTCCCGCTGTGAACGCCATTGTTGTGTTCATCTGGATTTGTTTCGTTTTCCTCCGAGAGTGGATGTAGATACGTTGTCCTCGCGTTCAGTAGAGACGTCGGCCTGCATCCTTCAGCAACGAAAACAATTATATATCGTCAAGTATAAACAGCCAGAATGAGATGCATTTACAGATCTTCTCAATTAT